GTCAAAGTACGCCCGCTCCCGCGCCGAGAACTTCTCCTTCGTGATCGAGGCCGCCGCTTGCCGCCACCACGCGACCTAGAACGCGGGCACCTCGGCGCGCGCGCACGCGCGGCTCAGGCACTTGGACACCGCCTCGTCTCGCCAGACTGTGCCGCCGATCTTGGAGAATAGGTACGGCGATAGGAGGGCGTCTGGTCGTGCCTGGCGGAGGAAACACTGCCGCAGCGGCTGCACGAGGGCCAGGAACGTGAGCAGGAGCTCGGCGACCGCGGCCGGCACGAACCGGATATTGTCCCTCTCCTTGCCCGTCTGCTCGGCGCTCTTGCGGTACCGCACGTGGATCATGAGCATCTTCTCCCAGACCAGGATACTACGCCGTCGGGTGCTACTGTTCGTGACCGTGATAGAGAGGAACTCGGGCGCCCGCAGCGGCGGCATCGGCGAGAGAAAGAGGAGCGGTAGCAGGGACTGCAGGAACGCTTGTACGTCGGCCTCATAGGCGGCCATAGCCTGGTGGCAGAGGGCCGGGGCCGGGCTGCCGGTTGGCACAGCGCCGGGCGTGCTGCGGAGGAAGAGCTGACGGAGATCGGCTCGCCCCTCGATCTGCTGTAGGAGGGCCTCGTGCGTGCCGCGTAGGACGTCGGTGTTCCCCTCGTCCGTGAGCCACGATCCGCCGTAGTCCTCCGTGTCGAGGTCGTCTACGAGCCTCCACGCCTCGATCCCGCCGAGGCTTTGCGCCTTGAAGAGGAGCCCGTCGTAGAGGAGGTCCCGCGCGCGCTTGTACTCGGACACGAGTAGACTCGTCACGTCCTCTATACGGAGACGCGTCCCGAGGTACGTGATCTCCTGGCCGCACAGGGACCAGCGCGCCTGGCGCCGGCTGATGGCCGACCGCGCGACCGTTGTGATGTAGAGTCGCCACTGCAGGATATACCCGAACGTCGTCTCGCCCTTCTGGTGCATATAGTCCTCGCAGACCTGGCCGAGCACGACGGGGATCTGGTCCTCGTCGTCGCCCGCGTGGAAGCATACCGACTCGAAGAGGATGAGCTGCGCGGACCAGATAAGCGCCGACAGGTGGCTACTATAGTTCCCCGGGTCCTGCCAGCCGCCTCGGGCCTTGCGCTGCCAGGCCGCCTCGTCTGCCTCGTCGTCCCCGCGCCCTTGCTTGGCGCGCTTGCTCTCGTCCTCCTTACGCGCCCCGTGGCTGCGGAGCTTGGTCCGGCTAAGCATGGCGCAGAAGCTGAGCACCGGCGAGCGGAAGTGCGCGCTCCCTACCGTCTGGCAGACAAGCGCGACGTAGAAGGCACGGATCGCCCGCTCCAGGCCCGCCTCGCCGTCGTCCTCGTCGTCCTCCGCAAGGCGGTCCCTCTCGCCGCCGCCCCCCGCCCGGTCCTGCGCGCGTAGCGCGGCGTGGATATGGTCCATCGCCTTCTTCTGTCGGCCCGTGGGCTCGACCACGTCTTGCGGCACGGCGGGCGCGCCCGTCTCGCGCGAAAAGTGCCTATCCTTTTTGTAGGCTACCCGGTAGTAGTACGTGAGGAGCTCCTTCACCCGCCGGAAGTACGTTCCGAGCGTCGCCTCGTTCTTGAAGCATCGGAACGCGATATCCTTCCCCTTCTTCCCGGCGCCGGCCGCGAAGTCGCTGAGCTTCTGGGCACGCTGGTGCGTCATCTTACGCTTCGTCGAGCAATCGACCACAAGCTCGTAGGCGGTGCGGAGCCACCGATCCGTGGCCGCGAGGATCCGCCGGAGGTCCCCCTCGCCGTCACCCCCAGCCTCGTCATCATCGCCACCGTCGGGTTCGCGTGAGTACGCGCGTCGCTGCCGGGGATGTTGAACGCTCGACGTCGTGGGGAGCTGGAATGAGGACTGGATCTCCGCGTCCGCGAGCCCCTCGAGGTGCGTGAGGAAGCCCGTGTGGACGAGCCAGCGCTGCTTGTCCGCCCGCCCTGGGCCCGGGCCCTCGACGATCGTCGCCTTCGCGTCGAGATCACGGCCCGCCTGCTGTATGTCCTCTCGGAGCCCCTGGAAGACCTGCCTCTCCGGTGACGAGGGCGGAGGGCCGGTGGCGTCCACGCACGGCGCCACGGCATCTAGGCCTGGCCGTGGCAGCCCCTCGTTTGTCTCGACCACAAAGTAGTCGATCCGCCCTCCGGCCGTGAAGTAGGTCTGCAAGGCGCAGGGCGCCCAGAGCGGCGCTGCTGTCGCCTCTCTCGTGTAGTGCTCCGACGCCGTCCTCCTGTGCCTTGGTATGTGGTCCCGCATCGTCTCGAGCCGCCTCGTCACGAAGTCGCACTGGCGGCTGTCACACAGGCAGATATAGCCACTATACGTCGCCAGCCCGTCGATCGCCTGGCACGGTCGCCTCCGGTCGGGCCGTTGGCGTTGTAGCGTGTCTCGGTCCCGCAGGGCGAATCCCGAGAGTACGCCTACGAGTCGTTGGAGTCGAGCGCCGCGTAGGCGGTGCGGCTCTCTCCGGAAGTGGCTCTTCCAGTGCACCGGGCTGTCGGGGACGATGCACGTCCCACACGGCCGGCATACGACAACGCCGTGCCTCGTGTCGTAGGCTAGGTCGGACAAGGACATGGCCACGACGTACTGTGCGTTATGCGTTGTGCGTCGTCGAGCGTAGGTAGCGCGCTCCTTGTTAAAGCAAAAGGGAAGGGGCGGCACGTCGTGCGTCCCTCCCGTTCCTCTTATATATATATATATATATAGATAGATATAGATAGATAGATAGGTACATAGTAGATAGTAATCCCGGCTCTTCCTTCCTCTCTCTCTCTCTCTCTCTCTCTCTCTCTCTCTACGCTACGCTACCCCAAATGTCCTTGCCCCACTCTTCCTTCTCGCCGCCCAATCCCCGCTCACCTTTCCATGCGAATCTTTCCCATGCCACCCATACAAAACCGCCGCCCCCCCTGTCAGGTCATGTCCCGCCCGCCCGCCACCGAAAAGGTACCCCGCAAGCCGCGCAGGGATCGCCTTTCCGAGGTGAAACGGCGCGCCTCATCCTCGCTAGGCGGTTCAAGGGTGCGGTGATCTTCGAGTAGTCCTAGATAAATCTCCGGTAGAAATTACCGAAACCCAGAAAGGCTTACATATCGGTAACGCAGGTCGGCGTCTTCTAGTTTCTTACGGTCCGGACTTTCTCAGGGTCTATTCGGATTCCCTCTCGGCCGATAATTAAGCCTAGGAATTTCGTCTCGGTCAC